GTGAAGGTGTAAATCTTTCTTTAAAATTCGCTGTAACGATGTTCTGGGTAAGTTTAATGCACTGGAACGCTTACGAGTAGACTGGGTAGGATTTTCACGAATTGAGTGTTTCACTACATCGATGTTTTCTTCCGTCCGTGATGTCCTTGGTCGACCTGACCGTTGTTTATCCAACGTCGAACCACTCTCTTCGAACTTAATAACCCAGTTCTTAATCGTTTGAACACTTGGAATGTCTTTAAAGTTGCGTAAATTCTGATATTCTCGAAATTTACGCCGCGCAATGGTAGCCGAATCATTGTTTCGATAAAACTCGCGCACACGAAATGCACGGTCCGCACCGCTGAAACGCTCCATGGCGACTGAATTCCCAGAAACCGTCGGTACTTCCCCCCGCACCGCGCGCGCCACTCATGCGCGCCTTTTGTATTTTATTCGAAATTTACTTTTGTAACGACTTATGGGCCACCTTGTATTATCGTAGCGACAGTGTACTAGAAACTATCGTCTCTTTTCTTCTTTTCATCATCGTCATTATCGCCATCACAGCCTATCTGAAGTCCACTGCTGAACATATATGATATACCTCCCCACTGACTGCTTCATAGGGAGGATTGTGCCACAGTGGCCACGCCTAGCGGGCGGGTTGGCAAGCGCAGTTATTTTATTAGTTGAAAGATTCTAAAACAAGAGCTGCCCATCTCTTGTTTCAGTTTTCTTCTATCGCTTCTAAGCCGACTTTTCACTATGGGATATAATATAATTTATATTACATCTCGAGATGTAAATTGATATCGCTCACCGTACTTTTAAATGGAACCGTTTCCACTGAGATATAATATATATTACATCCCAAAATATAAATATTTTTTCGATCGACCGAGCGATATTTTCATATTATATTTCACCTCCTGTATCCCGCACAACCTTCCGCGCTTCCGCTACGTCCTCAGATCGTCCAATGACGAACGCACACTGGTTAAAACATATATCTCACAGTGTGAAGGGAAATAGTGGGATTTAATTTATATTTCGGGATATAATACAATACATATTATATCCCATAGTGTAAAGCCAGCTATATGCTTCTGACGATACGGGATAGTGGATACTCTAACGACGCCACTTAATAGCACTACTTTCTTTTTGTGTGTGTCGGAAATGAAAATTTTACAATACACACAAAAAGAAAACAAAGTTTTACTTGGTAGAGATATGCTGCAGTTATATTAGTAGTATAGTTGTAGCACAAATGGTCGGCTCGACCGGGGCAGGACCACGCTCTCACAGAAGACCAGTGTAGAGATTCGGATACCCTTTTTACTGGAAACGAGGCATTCCATCTTAGTTCTCAAGGATGACAATGCATCTGCATTTTGATTCGTAATAGAGGTAGATGTCTATGTGCCGCAGCAACCACTTACCAACAGCTGGATCGTGTGCTAGTTTGTCACCCTTATCCTATATAAAAAATATAGTGTTTGATTTTGTCCTATGAATAAAACCGCCTCAAGACCCAGATTAAAGCGGGAAATTCACTAGACGGACATCCCCGGCGGGGACACAGCCCGTGGGGCGGGGACTTCCCGGGCATGTTTGTCGCCGCAATACACTACACAGACTCATCAGTTTGTTTTAGACCGGCTACGTGATTAGTTGTGCGTGCTGATTTCGGTGACAACCTAAACTTCTAATGCTTATTATTTATTTATTATTAATTTGGTGTTAAGAATGGTATAAAAGACGGCTCCGTGACGATGTGGCTTAGCAATGAGTTTAGCGCTGAGGGCCGCGGGCTCAATTTCCGCACGGAACAAATATTTTTATATCCTACAAATAATTGTTCCGGGTCTGGGTGTAAATCCTTGTGAAATGTACTTATGTTAACTACCCCCACGATATACTTAAATTCTTAGTGTGCAGGTAACGTTATTATAATACAGAAACACAAATGATATGAGCTGTGGGAAAAAACCCGGGTTCGATCTCCGCTGATGCCAATGAAATTGTTAGTGTGATGAATTATGTTAACATTACGAAAGTATAGGTTAACCGTTTCAATTTACATAAAGAATTAGAAATTGTTGAACCAGGTGACCTGCACAATTACTTGCGCATGGATATAGAGTCGTATAAACTCTTCCCAGAATGTTTTGTACCATTCTTAACACGAAATTAATAATAAATAAATAATAAGCATTAGAAGTTTAGGTTGTCACCGAAATCAGCACGCACAACTAATCACGTAGCCGGTCTAAAACAAACTGATGAGTCTGTGTAGTGTATTGCGGCGACAAACACGCCCGGGGAGTCCCCGCCACACGGGCTGTGTCCCCGCCGGGGATGTCCGTCTAGTGAATTTCCCGCTTTAATCTGGGTCTTGAGGCGGTTTTATTCATAGGACAAAATCAAACACTATATTTTTTATATAGGATAAGGGTGACAAACTATCACACAATCCAGCTGTTGGTAAGTGGTTGCTGCGGCACATAGACATCTACCTCTATTACGAATCAAAATGCAGAAATTATTAAGAAAATGCCAAATTGCACACTATTTACAAATAAATATGTATTAAAATTTAAACGACTTTTAATGATGATATTGAACATTAATCAAAAGTCTAAAATGTGTAAATTTACTCAGTCTGTCAACACAGCGAATCGGGTTTGTAGTAGTGATAATACGACGTAATTGCTTGTTTGTGTGCTACCCGCGACGCCGATCCTCGTACAAAATAACGTCGACAGCCATTCTATTGTGTATTATAGTATTCTATGATGTAAAGTGAAGTCCGCCAATGTGCACAAATGCACAAACGCTAAAAATTCTATAACTGTAAACAGACATAACAGGAGGTATGTTTAATGTTGTGGGACGCATATAGGCAGTTTTATAAGTAATTAGCGATCCTACCCAGATTCACACAGGCGATTTGTGGATCTCAACACCAGCACCACTTATCTGGTCCAATTGTGAATTTAAGAGGAGTATTACAATGAAAAACGCGAAATTACAAGGTTTCCTCGCTGTAATTATGTGTTTTCCGTTCGTTGCTTGAAATAACAATAACTTGGTAAAAATAGTTCGTTTTCTTTACTACAATAAGCTTAGAACAAATTTTAGATAACTTATTTATTTTTTAGTAATAATCATTCTCCCGATGCATGTTTAGGCCAAAACTCTAAGAGATATGATTTGGGAAATTATGTAAAAAATATTTTTATCTCCCTAGTATAATAATAATAATGTCCTCAGGCTGCCGTGGCCGAAAATACCGAATTTTCGGCCACGGCAGCCTGCCTCAACGAAGGCTAGCTATCGGCGTAGGACAGGATTATAGTGCCCAAGTGTATGCGCAAGGACAGGTGCACTCTCTATTCCCTCACTCTCATAATCCGATGGGACGGTAAACCGACACGACCGGAGAGAGATCAGGCGCAGGACCAACGGCTTTACGTGCTTTCCAAGGCACGGGAGTGAGACACCGCTAACTTACTAACTCCGGGCAGCTACTGAGAATTTTATGACGGAAAAACTCAATAATTTATTTTTGGGCCCGACCCTGGATTCCAACCCCGGACCTCATGATCAGCATCCTCTAGTATCCTACACTTTAATAATGATAGAATACATTTTCGTTATATGCCTTTTACGTAAGGAAAAAAATCCACATAATTTAATTAACGACCAAAAAAGCTTCGATACAACCCAAAATCTCCAAGTCCTATATCATTTTGACGTAAAATTTATGCCAAAATAATTATCAACATTTGGATAAACTATACTATGTATGTTTTTTTACTTTTTAAATCATTACTGTTTTTTATATTTCTATATTACTTTCGTACAGTATATTTCAATTAGTATAAAGCTCGCACATTATTATTATACCAGATAGTTAACTCATTATAGTTATTTTTATAAAAATGTCTGCATGCTTGCCATATGGACTGGCCCAGATTATGCAGTAAAAGTACTAAAAATCTACAAGGACGACAAATTTTGGATTTTGAATATGTTACCCAAGTTACAAGCGTTTTATAAAACGTGTGTATTGCCTGAAATGATTGATTCGAGATAAGCTCGTTAAATGCCGTTACGGCAAATATTTTCATAATAAAAAATATGGCAATTGATTGTTAAATACCGATTAAAAATATTAGTTACAGTTGGTTATTTTATTTATTAAAAGAGGTTGCAACCGTACTATTTATTTATTTATACCACTATGCTACCATTAGCAGATATAATCGATTATTAACCAACATCGGTTGACAATCGATTACAGTGAAAGAATTAAAATATTTATGTGTACTTACTTCAACACTAAGGTTCATAAATAATGAAAAATATATTAAATAGATTATAATAAATTAATTAACTAACATAAAAATGAGATACCAAAAATTTCCCATCCACTGAATTCAATCCTAAGAAAACTTGTATAATGGAAGATCAAGATCGTTTAGTCGCTATTCTCACAGTATCATAGTGCGAGCGAGTGAACAGATATTATGAAATAAAATATCGCTAGCGTAGTTTGTCGCCCGCTCGGAGCGTAAAATACCTAAATTTGCGTAACGTTGAAATGCAAGAGAACTCTTGAACCATTCTCGAATCAACATAATCATACTCACAAAATTCCATCCAAATCGGTACAATCTTTTGGATGTTCAATCACATACACGTGGACTGAAGAATTATATAAAGATAAGAAAAAAGCATGGTTAGAAAAGAAATTTTTTGTACACTATTCTTTTGCTCGTCAATATCTCTTAATGTTTTTACGATAATCGTATCGATAATAAAAATAACCATTAAGTTAACAAGGAGATTAACATTAATAGTGTTTTACATTATTTCCATAAATGTATATTTGTCACTAGTTCGTGCATTTACTAATATATTAAAAAAAGTATCTCATTGATAACAATAATGAAAGGTAGTGTGTCATTTACAATTTAATTAAATAAAAGAAAGAAATTAACGTGCACAGAATGAGAATTATTTTTGAATTTGAGTTAACTATCCTCATTGCAGCTATAATTCAAGGGACCTATGCAAAAAGGCAATGTCTAAAACAATCTGGGACAGATTGGGAAATAGAGCTCGTGATAGCACATGAAGACTGTAATAAGTTTTACAAGTGTTTTCACGGTAAACCTCTTGAGGTTATATGCCCAAAGGGACTCTTTTTCAACATGAAGTATTGGCAATGTGATTGGAAGGGTAACGTTAATTGCAGCAAACGAAATATTCCCGTAGAAGATTCCGCAGATGGTGATGAAATAACTAACAATGCCGAAACTGAAAGTGAAGACATAGACGATGAAGAGATAGATGATGAAAATGAGCAGATAAAGATAAGAAAAGCGGGCTTGACATTTCTTAAAAACTATTGTCCAGTTAATCCAATGATTCAATGGCGACTTCCTCACGAAGAAGATTGTAATCAATTTTATAAATGCCTCTGGGGTGTAAAGATTAATCAAAGATGTCCCCTTTTTCATCATTTTAATAGAAAGTCTCAGGTTAGTTTTTTTTAAAGAATTGTTATTTTGTATAGTGGCGATCTAAGAATATCCACTAAGTCAAGTGGGTGTCGTAAGAGGCTATTGAGGCTTACTTTCATGTCTTTTATATACAGAATGTCCCAGGAAACCTGTACCAGCGAAGGTCTGTTGTCTGAGGACACCAATACCTATTCATTATGTATGCTCCGCGATTTTTTATAGATTTCGAAATAATATGATTTTTTTGTTTTCTTTTTAGTTTTATTTTTAATTTTGGAAGGTTTTAGCTATAACTTTTTCTGTGAAGTAATTCTTAAAGATTTTTTGTTAGTATTATGGCTAGCGTGTGTGTTCGTCTGTAAAACATTAAATACCAAAAATTCTATTTTACATTATTTGACTTTAACTTGAAAAAAAATTACTTAAACCTGACCGAATAACTTACTGATAATTTAAAAAAAACTTTATGAGTTCCTTAGCTCTTAAAATAGCACAAAAGGGGTATTTTAGGGCATTTTTGTGCGAAAACAGAGTTTAAAGTTGATACAGTCGAAAATAGGGAAATTTATTTCATGCATTAGAAATGACTTTTCTCACATTATTCCGATTAATATGGCGATAATTATGAATGATGGATAAAAGATTTAAAATAACGTATTTAGATAAAATATTACTCGCAAATACAACTTTTATTTCAAGCAAAATTAAGGTAAAAAGTGAGATAGGGTCTCGGGCGCAGGTAATTGGTACATAGGGATTCAATCGATATGTGTTGGTGACCCCAGACCACAGAGTTTGCCCCAAACTTGTAGTAATGATTTTATATGTAAGAGACGTTCTATATTATTGCTCTTGTTTTAAAGAACTTACTTTCATATGTCCGTAGTATGTAGTAATTCTCTGCCAACATATGCCTGACTTTAGTAGATATGCGTCTCCGGCAGCACTCGTATAATGTATAGCAAAATCGCATACTCTTGCGTTTGATTCAAAATTTGTGTGGAGATTCTTTCTTCTAAATCATTATAAAGAATATGATTATTTTAAAGTTTGAGCAATAGTTTAAGCTACACTAACATAAGATATAAGATTCATAACTTACATATAAACACGCTTTATTTAATAGAAATAATTTGCACCCGTTCCCAAATTATAACATAAGACTTTCACAAATGTTATCTTTATTTGTGTAATATAATCAACTTGCCTTTTGTAATTGCATATCTTCTAAATTTGGGGCCGTGTAGTGGCGGTGTCAGAATAACCACTACCATGGGGTAGTGATTATTCATCATCCCGTGTGTAGTAAGAAGCGACAGAGGGGAACAAATTTGGAGATGGGCAGCAGCGTCTTCCTAATAAGGACAAAAATTAAAAAATACTGCGGTTGCCAACCCGCTTGCCAAGCATGGTAACTATGGCAGATATTCCTCCTATGAGGCAATCTGTGGGGGAGGCCTATGTTCAGTAGTGGACTTTAATAGGCTGTTACGGTAACGGTAACGATATCTTTTGAATATGTATTTGAAGCATATTTTAGTTAGTTTTTGTGGCCGCCTTCATGTTACTAATAATTAATATGCCATCAAAAACATAACTTGTAAAAAAACCAAGTCTCGCAACTCAGTTCTTCTAGCGTAAAAAGTTGTGAGATCCATGTAATACAAAGTTGGTAAAATTATTCAGTCCCTAATTAAGGGTCCTTCTGTCTTAAGTTATTACGTAATTAGCTAACATAACAACATCTTATTGTGACCATATTAATATTAAAAATCTTTTGTGTTTTAAATAGATTGACTTGGGCCATCAAATGAAAAGACAATGTATCTCACAAGTAATACCATATTATATTAAATTCGATTGCTTAGTGCGATTTCCAAGTCAATCAACTTATTTAAAACGTGCTAAGATTGGTATTTTTTTTTACAATTTATGTTTTTGATGGCATCTCATTTCTTTTTGCATATAGTCCTACTTTTTACCTTCCGGCACCTTCTACTTCTTGATTACCAACAAAGTACCTATCTAACCTTTTATTCTATTATATTAAACATATACAGGTACACTGATTCATATACTGCAAATGTAACTTTGAAATCCTATATATTTATACGGGATTACAAAGCTATTTATGCAGTTGGTGTATTAGAAAACTGGACTGAAATTGAAAAATATTTTAATTTTTCCTTAATTTATATACTAAACACTAATTGTGTTCTAAGTTTGAAGCTTCTATGTCTGCTAAAAGTGCCTTAGAGTTTTGATGATCGGTCAGTCAGTGAATGAAAAAATTAAGAAACTTCAACTAATTATAATTCCTAAACTACTGGTTCAAATTGAATGGAATTTGAAGTATATCGTGTCTATACAATGCCTGCTTGGTTTCTAGAAATTCAGGTTTCTAGTTCTATCCACAACGAAATTATAGGTGGTCGAAAATGGCCTGAATTGCTTCGAGAAAAGTATGGTACGGCCGTGCCGCTTTTTTGCTCGACTTGGCGGGGGCACTGCCGTGCCCCCAGATTCGGAATGAATGCATTTTTTAACTTTATGCTTATATTTCATTTCAATTTTTATAAACATTTCTTCTTTCTTTATTCTTCCTCATTTACCGTTCAGGCTGCACTACTCTGGGACGGCTTTTCCGAAAATATTAAAAGCGTTGCAAATAAGAAATGATTTAAAATACTGCTCTGACATAATTATCTGAAGGTCAATTCACATTACATATATTTTTTTTAAATATTTGTATGTATAAATAGGAGTGACGACCTGGTGAAATATGTCATGTAGTGGATGGATGCAGGTAGTTCAGTATTTTCAGCAGTGAACTTGTGAAAGATTAGAGCGACGATGAAGATAACCGTGATGAATAAATTATGATGATGAAAAATGAAACCATAATTGCTTAGTGTTGTTACTTGAAATCTTAAAACACAACACGGCTTGAGCCGCGTTAAGAAAAATATTGAAGTATCTATATGATGTGATGAAAATAAATATGTCCTATACGCAGTTATTTTTGATTACAGTTTTAAAAATCATTATTTAAATAAATATAATACTTATGATTTTAATCGTTTTATTATTTTCGTTTGCAGATATGTGACTGGCCGAGAGTTGCTGGATGTGCTTAAAAAAGTTTCGCTGCAATGTATTAAATTTATAATAAAAATGTTACACTAATTTTAATCTGAATAAAAAAGATTATTAAATTTTTTGCCTTTGTCTTGTATATAAATTTACTGCAACATGAATTTCGTATATTACAAAATTTATAATTAGGAAATTTAAATAAAAATTTACAAATAAAAGCTACTGAAATATAATTATAGCGTCGTAATTTAGGCTAAGTTTTATCCAAGTTTAGTTGTAATATATATGTTAAATAAACATGGAAATATGACACACACTTTTATTTTGGTTTTATTTAAATGAAAATTAAAAGATTTATCTGTTATTTTTGATTCAACAGTAATTATATTTGTGCAAATGATGGTAAGTGGATGTTGTGGCCAGACCTACATTTATTCTTAAACAGCTGTGCCCACGACTTCGTCTGCATAGAATAATTTTTAGTAATTTATTAATACACGGGAAGTATTTCATGGGATTTAATTTTTTTTTGCGCTGAACCCTAGTTCTTTTTTTTTAAATAAAAGTAGCTAAGTAAGTTACTCCCTATACAATAAGCTATCTGATGGTGTAAGACTCGACGAAATCGGCCCAGCCGATTTAGAGCCGTAACAAACTTATAACAAAAAAATTGTTTTTTTTGTTATAAGTACCGTATATACTTTCATATGCATTTAGTAAAAGCTGTTTGATAGAAACAAGTACTTCAATTTTATTTATTTGTATAGATTAACCATCCCTGAGGACTAAGATGGAATGCCTCGTTTCCAGTTAAAAGAATCTCCGGATCTCTACAATTTCAATACAAAACACATCTGTAATACGCTAACTTTCGGTGAAAGCATGATATAGTCGAGCCATTCGTGATACAACTGTAATAAAGCTGTAGCATGGCTCTACCATGTATATAAAGTGTGACAAATAAATACACAGCAAGACAAAAGAGCCAATAGCCTATCTGGTAACTTAGAACACGGAATTATACAAGTAGCCTTTACGTGGTGGAGCCAGAAACGGTGAAAAAACTTAGTTTATGTTATCATTTAAAAAACTAATGCTCCAATATTCTCACTCATAAATAAAAAAAGACCCACAAGAATTGGACCACGGGTTATAAAAACATGTTCCTTAATAAAATTACACAAGAAAAAATGCAGTTATATTTTGTATAGTGCAATGTGCAGTATAATATTATACGTATTTAACACGCGGCACAGCCACGCTGCAGCTATATTTTGGTTGTGGCACGGATGGGTCGACTCGACCGTGGTGCTGCTATTTTGTATAGAGTGTAGAGAATCGAAGACCCTTTTTACGAAAAACGAGCCTTTCCATCTCAGTACTCAGAGCTTATAATTCATCTGCATTTTGATTCCTAATTGAGAATACATGAAGATGTCTATGAGCCACAACAAATACTTACCGTTAGGTGGACTGTGTGCTCGTTTGTCATCTTTATTATATTTATAAGTAAAGTTATTTTATTATGTTGTAGAAGATAAGCTGTCTGATAAGCTGATTGTAGGGTCTGTAATACATAGAATCAAAATGCAGGTGAATTGTCAGCCCTGAGCACTGAGACGGAAAGTCTTGTTTCCCGTAAAATAAGCTAGTGCTTGGTTACAATCTTACCTTGTGGTAATTGGCGAAGAAGCGCTAGATGGTAAATCGAACTGCCTTAGGGTAAAGTTACAGCCTATATACGTCCCACTGCTGGTCACAGGCCTCCCCTCATTTCTGAGAGGGTTTTAGGGCAAGGAATTGACAACCGCGCTGCCCCAATGCGTGTTGGCGAACTTCACATATCTTCGAAATATTTTATTTCTTATTTCTCTGACATGCAGGTTTCCTCACGACTTTTTCCTTCACCGCCGAGCACGTGGTAAATCAGCACTTAACATTGCAATTAACAATTTCATTGGTGCTGGCGGGGATCGATCCCGGTTTGCTCGCGTAGTGTGAAATTTACAGCGAGCGCTAACAATCTGAGCTACCACGGCTCCCTCCGAAGCCCTAGATGGTTAACCGAACTGCTTTACGGTAACAAAAGCGAATTCGCTCTTTTCTTGAAAACGCCCAGATTGTATCCGCACGGAAGGACATACATAACCACAACAACAACCCTAATATATAGCAAACGATTATGGAAGCATTACTACTAGGCGGCAGAAAGTATATTGACATGTAATTTCCATATGATGCCTCAGTTTACTACTCTATAAATAGTTGGGCATTGTTATTGTACCCAGAAATATAACTTGAAAATATGACAGCCCATGGGGAAGAAAGTAAAGCTTAAAAGTAAAGTAAAGTTACAGCCTATATACGTCCCACTGCTGGGCACAGGCCTCCCCCTCATTTCTGAGAGGGTTTTAGGGCAAGGAAGTGTCCGCCGCGCTGCCCCAATGCGTGTTGGCGAACTTCACATGTCTTCGAAATATTTTTTTCTTATTCCTCAGACATGCAGGTTTCCTCACGATGTTTTCCTTCACCGCCGAGCACGTGGTATGTCAGCACTTAAAATTGCAATTAACAATTTCATTGGTGCCGGCGGGAATCGAACCCGGGTTTCTCGCGTTCTGTTATATTTACAGCGAGCGCTAACCATCTGAGCTACACCGGGGAAGAAAGTATCAGCTTATAATCGGAAAAAGCAGTAAAGCCATCTCTGACTAGATGAAATAGCAGCCTGATTGGGCAGTAAATGGACAAGGTGGCTAAGGATCAATCATGTTTTGTGGTATTCTTTTGGAGACCACAACCGTGTTTAATGAATACTTTTTGATTGTTTGCATTGATAATAATAATTCTACCTCCACGTTATCCTACCACAACGTTTCAAGCCACAAACATTAACTGGATGTGGTATACCGCACCAAAAATGGAAGCTTGTATTTTTAGTTTTCGAACCGAAATCAATAGTGGTGACAAATAAAGGAAATTATTTTTTATGAGTAAATATCGATGTAAGTTGATTTCTGAATCATACGCATAACAATAATATTGTTTTAGCTATAGATAACGTTTTTAATGGAAAATTATCATGAATTTGTTTTCCATTAATCGATAATAGATCAATTTGTACTTTAAAATAAAGTCCCTCTGTCCGTTTGTACATCCTTTTTAATAATGACACATCATATACGGTCTGCTATTGATGTGTAGGGGCGACGTAAGACATGACTATTCCGTATGGACGTACTTTTTGTTTAATGATAATTAATACTACGAAGACCGCATCATAACTATTAAGTAAATAAAGGCATGTTAGTCTTTAGAGGTGACACCACTTCTATTGCTTTCTTCATCTGTATTCGGTTGCAGTCGTCATTGATAGCATCAACTTATGGACTCTTTACGTGTAAGTATCTAATTGTCCATCTGATAGTTGGTGGATGGTGTGGCAATCAGACGCCTACATCAATCATCTTTAAAGATTCAAAATGCAGATGCGTTGAGGACTACAAAACAATGCCTCGTTACCAATTAAAAGAATTTCGGTTGCCATCACTCACTTAACGTTACTATATCCAGCATCATTATACGAGCATCCATTACAATCCATTTTTCGATAAAGATTTTAATAACTTCTGACATCTCACCTTAGTAATAAGCAACATTAACATTATACACGAAAGCTATTTGATTTTGTTATTTCAAAATTAAAAATATCAATCGAGAAGCGACGAAAATTAATCTCAAAATTATTAAAAGCTAAATACTCAAATATTTATGGGAATAATTATTCATAATTGCTCTCTGTGCATTTGTTATCAATGATCTACACTTTTTTCAGACACTTATTATCAACATTAAATAAAACATATTTAAGTATTAATATAGTTAATATATTTGTAATACAGTTTACACATATAAATTAGTTCATAAATATACACACTTGTGTCTTCTGACAAGGACAAGACAATTGCCGACGAGCCTAGAGGAGCGTCGACATAAACCTGATATCCTTCCAGATAAAATATCGGCAGAAGGTCCAACAGTGAAGATACATGATCCGCCACATCTGAAATCCCCGTAGACGAAGTAACCAGCTGTGTAAGACCATATGCCAAGGCAAAATCATCAACAGACCTCCCCGTATGACAGGTTAAGCGTGAAGCGAGCTATTCGGCGTTTTATGCGTTAAAATCGCAAAGGATCACATTATTTGTGGATGAAATCTGCTGTAGCAAGGAACAGGGTAGGATCCAAGGAAAACGAAGTGTGGGTGGGTGGGAACATCTTGGCTGAAAAACCTACGCCAATGGTTTGGAAAGACCCGTTACTTATTCAGAGCCGCGGCATCAAAGATCAAAGTTTCCTTAATGATCGCCGACCTTCGAAAGAAGATAGCACTTTAATAAGAAGAAGTAGCAAGGAATTCGTAGCCATTTGGACGTGGGCGATGAGTCGGTCGGTTTCAGCATTACCGCTATGTGACCTATAGAGGCACCCGTAGACGCGGGAATGGTTGTCGCTGTCTTTGCGCAGCCATAGGACGGACAGGTCCGTACCTTCAAGACTGCCAAGACGTTAAAAACAGATGTCCTCCCTGACGTATACGCAAACTCCAACCTAGGGTACAAAGGAGTGCTCTAATTTGTACCCCGAGTAGGTGAGATATGAAGTATCTGAGGAGAGGACACCTGAGTCTCGGTTAAAAAAAGCAAGTCCGGCTTTGTCGTCTCCAGATGGTAGTGGAAAGACGTTACACATCAAAAATAAAAATAAATGTCTATTTCTCAGTATAAGGTTTAATCATAACATTGATAAAATAGTGATTGCATTCAAAAATAATTAACAGGAGGTGGTATCGCAGAAAGACACTAGTCAAGAAATGTGCAAGTGAATTTTATTACTTTCACTTACTTTTAATCTAGATTGTTACAATTAAATTAGTTGAATACATAGATAGAACATTAAGTTAATATTTTTTCGAGGTAATAAAGATTAGCTAAGTGTATAAAAAAGCCATTCTCACTTACACTATATTCGCAGTTTTGGTAAACACAATGAAAGGTTTGTAGTGTTACAAAATTTATACTACTTTAAAACAAAGATAGACAAAATAACTTTTAATTTTTTCCAGCTCCAGTTGCAATTTTATTCGTGGCAGCTGCTTTAGCAGCAGAAGATAACGGTCCTTGTCCCAAAGAACAAGATGTAAACTTTAAAGTCGAACGTCTATTACCTCATAATGAATGCAACAAGTTTTACCAATGTATTCAAGGTGAGCCCGTAGAAATGTTTTGCGCCGACGGACTTTTCTTCAACTCGGTCTTTCGTTATTGTGATTGGGCACCTAATGTTGATTGCGGTGAGAGGACGATCCCAACTGGAAAGATGCTGGCTACTAATCAAGAAGAGGAGCACGAACCAGAACCAGAAAGTGATAATCCAGAAGCCGCTGAAATTGATTTTCTCGAAAATGGTTGTCCCGTAGACCCAGTTATACATTGGCTTTTGCCTGACGATAATGACTGCTCCTTATTCTTCTATTGTGTTTGGGGTGAAAAGGTTCAAAGATCGTGCCCGAATTCCTTGCATTTCAACAGAAAATTGCAGGTACGTTACATATTTGTATGAAACACAAGTCTCCTCATAGTAATCTCATGTAATAATGTCAGTGACAAACGAGCTTTTAATCTATCTGATGGTGAGTGGCTGCTGCAGTCCGTGAACATCTGCAACCAACTTCAAGCAAAGAAGTCTATAGAGGGATGGTTATCTGTCATAACTGAGACAGAATATTTCACAGCTTGTAAGTAAACTGGCTCTCTATACTCTTCAGACCTAAAGACAGGAGTGCACGCACCGCTGCTTGGCAACAGAAGTAGGTGAGAGGTAAGTACTTATTCGGACGGACACTTGGGTAGAAAGGGAGTCCCACCATCTAGTAAAATATCAGAGTATGTATGCCGGGGGTCCTTGGCTTGAATGCACTTTGGAACCAATTCTTTTTTACTTATCGTAAGCCGTCAGCAGACAAACCACATTCTTGAACCACCTGCATCCATCGATTTCCAGAATGTCTTACTACTTTTTGCTTACCGGTGCGAGGCCGCCACTCGTTTTTCGAAAAACTTTTCTCTCCATCGGTTGTCGGTTCCTCGAGCTATATAGCCAACTATGGCCTCTTCAGCTTACTTATTCATTGAGCTATATATGTTACTCTAGTTTTACTATGAATATTCTCATTTTGAAGTCTTTTACGAAGTAAAGCTCTGAGCATAGCTCTCTCCATAGCTCGCTGAGCAACTTTGAACTTCCTTGTACAGTCAGCGATGAAGGACCATGTAACTAGTAACACGCATTGGTTGTTCACATTCACATTCTTGTTTGAAAGTTTGGAAGAATACGTGGCGAGAAAATGTGTTATAATTTCTCGAACGTCAACTAGACGAGCTGCATCCGTCGATTGAACTTTTGTGTTGTACATATCAACTTTAAGACCTATCTGTTGGAGTAGAGATACTATTGAGAATACTGGCGTGAAATAACAACATAATGTTGCAGTGTTTCATATATGTATGGTCAGTTTAGAGAACCGGTGACCTTTTTTACTGGTAACAAGATTGTATTTTGATTTTTAATCAACATCCACTTTCAGTTACGTGGTGATTACCACACCACAGTGCCTAGAAGATTGCAATGCAGTGGACGATATGAATGACAAGCTCGTGGAAACTGTCCATGCGATTGGAGCTAAGTTCTGCAAGACCCGCCGCAGAAGAACACAAAAACTCTCCGATCACACTCTTAATCTCATGGCTGTTAGACGGGAGATGAGGCTGCAATCGTCAACAGATTTGACAGCATACAGGCAACTGAACAGACAGATCTCCAAATGCATGCGGCGAGACCTACGCAACTTTAATACTGCTCGTATTAAAGAAGCGATCGAGCGGAACCAGGGCTCCAAAGTCTTTGCCAGAGATCTGTCTGCCAGAAAGAGCCAACTGTCAAAGCTGAAGACTGAGTGTGGCAGCATCGTTTCCGAGACACCTGAGATTTTGAGTGAGATTGAGAGGTTCTATGGGGAGCTGTACACATCATCGTTGGAGCCACACGCAAGTGTGAGTAACGATCCAAGAGCAAGTCTTACCCGACACTATTCCGATGATATCCCGGACGTCAGTCTGAGCGAGATTAGAATGGCTCTCTAGCACCTTAAAAACGGCAGGGCCCCAGGCGAGGATGGAATTACAGCGGAGCTTCTGAAAGCGGGTGGGACACAGGTACTTGAAGTCCTTCTCAAGCTCTTCAATTCCGTCCTCCATGGTGTCACTACTCCGGAGGCGTGGAGCAGAAGTGCGGTGGTCTTGTTATTTAAGAAAGGCAACAACGCTCTCTTGAAGAACTACATCCGATTTCCCTTCTGAGCCGCGTCTACGTGCTGTTTTCGAGAGTCATTACGAATCGTCTCGCACGCAGACTCGACGACTTCCAGCCTCCCGAACAAGTCGGTTTTCGAAAAGGCTTCAGTACCATAGACCACATACATACCCTGCGGCTGATTGTACAAAAGACCGAAGAGTACAATCTGCTACTTTGCCTGGCGTATGTGGACTATGAGAAAGCCTTTTATTCCGTCGAAATTTGGGCGGTGCTACAGTCCCTTCAGCGGTGTCAAGTTGACTGTCGGTATATCGAAGTGCTGAAGTGTTTGTACAGTAGGGCTACGATGGCTATCCGAGTACAGAACCAGAGTTCGAATCCTATCCAACTGCAGAGAGGTGTAAGACAGGGTGACGTTATATCCCCCGAAACTCTTCACCGCTGCGTTGGAAAACGTTTTCAAGCTACTGGACTGGAAAGGATACGGTATTAACATCAATGGCGAGTACATCACTCACCTTCGATTGGCCGATGATATAGTCCTTATGGCAGAATCCCTGGAGGACCTTAGCACTATGCTCAATGACCTCAATGGTGTCTCCCAACGGATAGGTCTTAAGATGAACATGGACAAAACAAAGATCATGTTTAATGTCCATGTCACACTATGCCGGTAGTTGTTGGGAGCACTATGCTCGAAGTTGTTGACGTTTACCTGGGACAAATAGTCTGACTAAGTAAGTCCAACTTCGACCGAGAGGTCAATCGACGGATTCAACTCGGCTGGGCAGCGTTCGGGAAATTACGACACATCTTCTCGTCAGGTATACCTCAATCTCTGAAAACTAAAGTGTACAACCAGTGCGTGTTGCCAGTGATGACTTACGGATCAGAGACGTGGTCCTTCACTGCTGGCCTGGCTATGAGTACGCTCAAGGTCGCTCAGCGAGCTATGGAGAGGGCTCGGAGTTTCTCTGCGTGATAGACTCAGAAATGAGGATATCCGCAGTAAAACCAGAGTGACCGACATAGCCCAACGGATTAGTAAACTGAAGTGGCAATGGGCCGGCCATATAGCTCGAAGAACCGATAACCGATGGGGAAGAAAGGTTCTCGAGTGGCAGCCTCGTACCGGTAGGCGTAGTGTAGGGTGACCCCCCACTAGATGGAGTGACATCCTGGTAAGACATGCAGGAAGTCGATGGATGCAGGTGGCTCAGGACCGTGCTTTGTGGCATTGCTTGGGGGAAGCCTATGTTCAGCAGTGGACTTGTGAAGGGCTGTAATGATGATGATGGTGATGTAAGGACACCTACGAGAAGGTGAAGGTGAAACCAGGTGAAGTATTCTCTTGCGCTGCTCTGCACGCTTTTATAATCAAACTGATTAAAATAAACAGGCATCGTAAGGAAACCTGCATGTCTAGGAAATAAACTAGAAAAAAAATATTTCAAAGACATGTGAAGTTCGTCAACATTAATGCACTTCCTTGTCCTAAAACCCTCTCGGAAGTGAAAGGTTTGTGCCCAGCAGTGAAACGAATGTAGGCTGTAACTTTACTTATTATTTTCCTATAATGAAAGATATCTTAATAGTCCGTTAAGATCTGATAAAGAATATGCCTGACGCGGTGCCCCAATGCATGTTGGTGAACTTCATCTGTATTCGAAATATTTTTTTGTTTGTTGTTGGACGTTATCTCCACCATTAAGCGTGTGGTAAATTAGTTCTTCAAATCGCAATTAGCAAATTTACTGGTGCCGGTGGTGATCAAACCTATGTTACCCGCGTACTGTACAAAAAAGTGGAAGCCAAAGCCCTGATATCTTCTGTACACGGGAGGATATTAACAGGTTTTTTTTCAGGTCTGTGACTGGCCCCAATTTGCTGAATGTACGGTGAAAGACGTAACAAGCACAAGTACCTCCGCACCGACGGTACCACCGAGTGACAGACGTTGAAGAAAAAGCCTTTTCCTTTAAATTATTAAAGATTTATAATGACTATAGAATCGGGATGTTTTATATTACTGTAAAATGTTACCTTGTTTAGTTGGAAAAATAATATTAAACGTTCTATTGATATAAATTAATGTTTTTATTTTGTCATATTTAGAAATATTCTCATTTACGTTACTTAGCTGCAATATACAATAGGGCACTAGGTATATTTTATATTCGCAAAATTGCACATGCCCTAAAATTTATGGATATTCTAAAGATGACTGGGGTATCTACTGTACTGGGAGTGACATATTAAGTACTAAAAAGCGAGTAATTTTTGTAGTAATAATTGTGTTTTTAATAGAAGAAGAGGCAAACGAGCAAGCGGCTCACCTGATTGTAATTGGTTACCGCCGCTCACGAACAACTGCTACACCATGGGAATTTCCGGAAATTCCATGGGAATTGTTAAATCTACATCAGAAGAGTTAAAACCCAGGCCGATACTAAGTTCCTTATTTTCGTTTCTGTCTTATGTCACTAAATTATTGGAAATGTTAAGAACATACAGTTATAAAGAAACTTGTATCTGGAGATTCTTCTTCTTTATCATGTACCAGAAGAATCCACCTGCTGGACATAGGCCTATCCCGTTGAAAGCCGGGTTTGCCCTAATAGTTACGCTTGTCATGCATATTGGAGACTGCAGTAGAAAACTTGTCGCACCTTTAATAATAATATAATAATTAATAATAATAATTTTTAGAAAAGTAAGGATTAATTATATCTTAAAGACATTTGAACATATATCATTATTTTGGGGCTGTAGACGTCACTTAAAGGAATTTTTATGGGTGATATAGTTGTTACAAATTAATTGGTAGAAGGTGACTACTATTTAAGGACATTTTTATTTATTTTTATTTTAATTGACACTGCTAATCATCGCTACTCTGGATTTTTAGAAGAGGGAGCAAACAAGCGTGCGGCTCACCTGATGGTAAGTTTCGACCGCTGCCCTTGCACATCTGCAACACAAGGGAAAAAGAGCTTCTGAGGCGGCGACTGCAGGCCCAGCAAAATATGGCGTTAAGAACCATCGTCGGTGCGGGTCGCTACGTCCGGAATGACGTCATAGCGGCCAACCTGAAGATCATCACAATCCAGGAGTTTGTGGCACGGTTGGCGCGCGGACTGTTCGACCGTGCAGACAACGGGCCACACATACATCTCAACAACTTAGCGCCGCTACACACTCGCCCTCCGGACGGGCGACCCTATCTAAGAGAACTCCTCTCTATATCGATTAGAGAGTCGAGTAACAACTCACAATGCCGCAGATAGGCCAACTTTAACTTCTACCAGATAACCTCTCTTTTTTCGTAGTCTAACCGACTACGAAAAAATCTACCGATTACGACATAAATCGTACTAGACACCTACAACGCCAATAGAAGGCTCCCATGCCCGGTCCATAGTGGTGGACCGCGAGGACAACACGGGTAATGGGGGCTTATCCCGAGGCCCGAAACCTGCATGTGCCTTAATGCACATGAAGACGACATCAACAAGGGAAATTGCAGATGCGTTGCCAGTCCTTATTGGGTGTTTATGTCTGACGTAAACGATGGTTGTACTGCCATCTATTGGAAGCCATGAGATATTTCTGAGATATTCCAGCATTCTGAAGAATCACAACCTGAAATGAGGTGATGCATTCTCTTAGGCTATCACCACAAGGTCGACTAAGGTGTTAATTTAATCATTGAAATACTATCAACCTTAACAAAAATGAAACTCAGCACCTATTAATTTTCATGAATCTGCTTTTGGCTTTCAGTGGAGCGTGTAAAGATTGCTATTTATTTTTAACACATATTTCTAAAATACAAGTTTTATAGTTTTTTTTTTTTATAATTATAATTGTTAATTACAAAATTTGGATTTTAACAATTATTACAATTTATTGAATCATTTGTCTAAAAAATTAATGGATGCTTTTATGTGTGCTGTAATCCATGTATGCTTATTTATGGCAATATAATATTGCCACAAGCATACGTATTTGAAAGCTTCGGGGAGTATTTTACACTCCGATCAGAATTAGTCGTCTTGATGTAATTACGACCCTCTTGCTAGTGTTGTAGCACACATAGTTGGTTATAAATATTTATTTATATCCAACCAAATTAATATAAATATATTTTAATTAAAATCTATTGATATTTAAAATTATAATATTTACAATTAATACAAATTATATACAATATAAAAAGAAACTAGACTGTAGAAAAACTAAAATTAAAAATTTTAATAGTCAAAAAGTCCTGCTCCCCGTGGTATCGTGTCAAGAACGCTGACTGAGTTTCCTGGCTGAATAGCTATACTTACCCTTTGAGCGAGGAAAGAACCAGCCCTCTTATCACCAGCAGCGACGACTAGTTGTGGATACAGTTCCTTTAGGAACTTCACTGCACGTGGACCCCACGGACCGGTAGTCTCTACAGCAAATGGCACAATTATGTAGTCATTTCTCAAAGACTCATATTTGCGCCATTTACTAAATTGGACTGCCTATGATGCCGCCCCGGCTCTAAAAGAAGTACCCTTGAGATGAGAGGCCGCCAAAGTGTCAACGCAGGTAGCATCCTACGCTAGGGCTTTACCTCTCTCCCAAACTACTAAAGTCACACCGTCGGCTCTCTTGCCATCATCTCTAAATATCCCGCAAGGCTCTAAAAGCGAGGGGATATTTATGGAGGCAAGAGCCCTTCGGGTGATTTCGTTATTTTATTTTATTTTGTTTTAATAATTAAGTTATTTTATTTTATTTCTTAAAAAGTCAATTATGTAATTATTTCCTAAATTATCGCGAATATTTCACATTGAATAAAATACATTTTAAAATATGTATTGTGTAATCATGGAGTCGACTACACATTTATATGTTAGTATAATATTGTTTAATTATTAATTTTTGATTCAAACTTTTGGATTTTCGACGCTTTGGAGGCGTCTTAGGCGTCAAACCATAGGTGCTATAAAGCACCTATGGTTTGACGCCTAAGATGTTTGACGTTCTGATGCCAATTAATATTTAAAAGCTGAAGGTAGCCCGGATTACCTATTATTTTATCTATTCTATTTTATCTATTTTACAGGTGTGTCTTATAAATATTTCTTCTTTCTTCTTTCGGTCTTTTATTGAATATTACGTTATCATGATTATTATCAATGTTTCAATCACTAACCATCGCTGATAAAAGATAAATTTCATTTGTTTTTTATAATCAAATCATTGATATTATTATGTTTTACTTTAGAATTGCGCATCTACTCTAACGTCACTATGATGAAAGGTATCTTTGTTAAAGTTTGTTTATAAATTTTATGCATAACATTAATAATTTATACAATAAATTCAAAACCATTTTTGTACTATTTTTCAGGTATTATATTATTGGTTTCGTTTCTCGCTCTCTTCGTAATTGGATATGCTGCTAATCAGTGTCATAAAGAACAAGAAACAAATTGGCAAATCGAATTGCTGTTAAAGCACGAGGACTGTGATAAGTTTTACAAATGTACCTTGGGACAACCTATTGAGATGCATTGCCCTGATGGACTTTACTTTAATCCCGAAATTTCACAGTGTGACTGGAAGGATAATGTTGATTGTAGTGAAAAAAACATGTCACATGATAATAATTTAAAATCCGAAGGCTCCGATGAATTGGGGACAGATACGGAATATCAAAATGAATCGGAAGAAATTGATGATGCTTCGGAGACAGTAGAAGATTCAGATGAGGAGGACACCGATTTTGCAGGTGATAAAAATTCTTCCCAAGAAAATCTTGAAGTATCAGAATTGGAATTCTTAGAAAATGGATGTCCGGTCAACCCACAAATACATTGGCTTTTACCTCATGACGATGATTGCAATCTATTCTATTATTGTGTATTAGGAGAGAAAGTACAAAGAAACTGCCCAAGCTCGCTTCATTTTAACAAAAACTTACAGGTCAGTACAATATAATACGGTAAGCCTTATTTATATTAAATCAATAGTTATATTAAATGTATAGTGTAGCGTTATTTTATTGATAGGTTGAATTTAAAAGAATGGCTGATTGTAAAATATATAAATTGGTAAATATAAATAATTCATTACAGCCTAACAAAAATCCCCTGATAAACATATGCCTCCCCCATAGATGATTTGATACATACCTATATACATTTATGTATGTATATATTTCACAGTATATTATACTTGCGGGGTGCTACAAGCGGGTTGGCAAACTAAAAAATATGAATAGTGGCTACCCAATAAGTATGATTCAGATATTTTATGATTCAACTATGTTTTAGGTATATATTGTTAGTAATGTAATTATTGTCGAATACCAATGGATAAATAAAATAATAAAAAGCCAAATATACGGACAAACATATTGGTACCCCACTCGTATTTACCTAAACGTTCCAGATTAATATCAGAAATCAACCGAAACACGGTATTTATCCAAAAGCAATAAAGCTTGTGATTTTGTACAAATGTTTTCTCCGAAAGAAATCCAAAATCAGGCTCCGCGAAATCCTCATAGTAGTTGGGGTTGGTTAAGATACAATATTATACACAATCGTATAATATAACATATTATATATCAAATATGAAAAAATAGGCTACCGATAATGTAAATGGCATTACACATTATTGACCATTTCTTTTGTAAAATGTAAACTTAATATGGTTAAAAAAGTTTTACTCTCAGAAATCAATGAATTACTTTATTTTTCGAAATTGCTAAAAAAGTACTTCGACGTATTCACCTACAGGAAGTATTTTAAAGATTGGAATAAACAAAAGGAATCATGCCGCTATATTTACTAAAATTACGCGTATTAAGGAACAAGGAACATTAAAGCTCAATGTACATTGTAGCAGAACGGAATGGAAGTGAATTTTTATAACGAAATTGTACTTAGTAAAACGAGTTCAATGAACGTGCAAACTAGATATAAACCAAAAAAGAAGTCGCGCATGTTCCGGGGAATCCTCGAGCTTTGTCGAGGATGTAGGCGCAGTCTGTGGAATCCTCTATTATCTTGATGTTAGTGCTGTTAGTCTATGCGACTCTTAGGCCTCTGCCTCGAATCTTGCGGGTAGCGGAGCGACGGCGACGGCGGCGCGGGAGCGGGGCGGGCAACGCAGACCCGTTCACGAAACTAGCGGGCAGATCGCGCGACACTATAGCGGCGTAGTGATGTGTTCATGGTGTGTTGTCTGAACAACGGCGACAACATCTTTTTTGATTCAAATTTATTTCTAACGCTCAATTTACTGTGGGCAAAAGAAGAAGTGAATCCCTACTACTTATAGGGCAAGGAAAAAAAAGCCGAGTTTTATCGAAATTACGAAGAACAGAGACAATGTCCCGACAAATTCTGCGACTACACCAGAATGAGCGTAAAAACTTTTGACTATATTCTTGAAGCTATCAAAGGCGATTTAGATTCAGTTCGTTTTTAATTTCTTCCCATAACTGGTTATTTACTCTTCTATTTTTATGGTTCACATCTTTGCTGTTCCATATCGGTGTTCTCTCAAAAATTGCTGAAATAATTTGCTCTTGCACGTCCGAGGACATTTCGAAACGTCACAAAAATTAATTGCACAACACTGCAATGCAGACGTGCGGGCGGTCACCGCTTGACTGGAGTACACCGCTCGTTACCCGCCCCCGCGCCGCTGCCAAGCCGCTGTTTTCGAGAGTCGGTCCATTTGATTTTACGCATAAGATCCTGCCGCTCCCGCGCCGCCGCCGCTGCCGTCCCGCTGCCCGCAAGATTCGAGGCAGAGGCCTTACAGCTTCACCTCTGTGGAATCCGCGGGAAGTGGCGCGAAGGGCGACGTTCTCGTTTCTTCCACAATTCATTCATATTCCTTTTCCTTTTTCTGATATTTTTCCTTTTCTTATCATTTTCCTTTTCTTCTGCCTCAAAAATAAGCAATATGAAAATAATGTCCACTCAACCATTCTTGTTTAGTACTCTTAATAGATCTAGACTAAATAACTGAACGTCCTCCATAGGGTCAAGGCGCAGAGCGAGAAGGCGTGCGAACAGCACGCCTTGTCTCACAACGGGGCAAAACTGATGCTTCCGTTCCATTCCGTCCCGCCGCAATTTATATTTATGGGGCCGCAATAATGGTATACTTGATGAATTTGAATCTTATTTAAAAAAAAAGAAATTGTTCTGGTTTACCACTTACTCGACGGTGATTGATGTGATAATATTATTTTAAAATATGTAAAACCCGCCAACATGAACTGGATCAGAGCGGCAAACTAATTGCTCTATAACCCTTTCAGAAATGAGAGTAGGCCCTGTGCCCGTGCCCATTGTGGGATGTAGATAGGTATAGGCTGTAACATATTTTGCTTTACAATTCAGTATATTTGTTTGTTTTAGGTGTGTGACTGGCCCGATGAAGCGGGATGTTCAAAGTCTTTAGAAGACAATGCTTCTATTGAACACGAAATAATTAAGACAGTTGAAACCGTGGTTGACATAAAATTGTAATACAATAAACTGGTATTTTGTAAGAAGTTGTTTAGAGGTTTAGATTTTAAAGCTGTTGAGAAAATATAATACCTAAATATTAAAACGAAATTTTTCATCACGAATTGAATGAAAATAGTCAATTTTGTGGTGGTTTTTATTCAAACTTCAAATTTACAAAGGAATATAGAATTGTTAATGTTTTAAGTACCTTTAAGTAAATACTTTAAGTAATATTATTTGTAACGTAATTTAGAATTAAGTATATTACACTCGCCGTTCCCGCGACGACGCTTGCAAGGACTTGTTGGTTTACCATTTCGTGCAAAAACACTTAAAATGGATTTACTTTTGTGTCCGTGTACCTGTCACGATTCTTTACCTGCCCTCCGGTGACGTCAGATACAGTCACAAACATCTGAAATGTATTTTTTTTATATGAGATGGCAAACGACCATACGGCCTCACCTGATGGTAAATTACTACCGCCGCCCATGAACAAATGCAACAAATCCGTATCCACGGATTTGTTGCATTTGTTCATTGAGTTATTAATTTAGTAATATAATTCGATGTGGATACACTACTATTATTCACTTTTTGGTTGAGCGTTCGAGGGCCAAACAGATAATAATTTTTTAGTATTCATGGTGGTTGAGTGTTTTTAAATATTTTGTCATTATTGTTAAAATTGTAAATAAAGGTAAATAAAATGAATATCTAAAGCATTTATTTGTTTTATTCAATTTTGTGCAATATTTTAAATACGTATACGCATACGTAAACGCGCATACGTATGCCACACTCTTTTATTATACATAGTAAGTAGGTCAATGATATAAAGCATTAAAAACTAAAACATGTTTTAATTTTATTTTATGACTTTGTTTGAATACTCCCGATGTAAACTTTTAATGAATTAATTACCCAAATGCTTGATAATACTATTTTTGTAGGTAATATGAGTATATACAGTAATACTAATAAAGTAGGCACACGTTATTTTATCATTTGATCAAAAAATGATTGGGAAAATCCAAATGCGCATGCCTCACACGCTTATGATGTTAAAAATTACAAGAAAATAACAGAGAATCTGATCGAATTTCATTATTAACTTTTAAACGGTATTGAGTTCAATTACAAAAATCAATAGGGGTATTAGGTAATTCTTTGAGCAATATCACTAGAGTACACTAATGACTGTTGTTTGTGTTGTGAATTAAATGGAATCGTCTAACTTAATATTCAATTTGCATTATTAGAAACATTGAGCTATTATGTACTACGTACTAGAGGCGACACTGCATTCAGCTACTCTGTTCCACTCAACTGCGGTGCATACACCGCACCTTAATCAGTCATTCGCTAGGCGCTTGTAGAGTTGTCACGTGTTGTGTTGATTTAAAAAAATCTCTTAATAAAAATATGCCGTCGTGTGTACTTAGATATTGCACAAATAATTCAAGAAATGTCAGTAAAACCAAGGTATTACTTTTCATCAGTTAATAAGAGACTTAATCAATAAAAAAAATATTATAAATTAATAATAAAACAAATTATTCCTAAGACGCCATCTTGTGTCATGTAATATAGATTATGAAATGAATTTGTTCAGATGAGACATTTTTGTGGGTACTTAAGTATATGACGAATATATTATTATACACTTTTTTTGTAGAAACATATTTAAGAGTTATCATAATTAGGCCAATTTTTTTTATTTAAATCTCTTCATTATTCTTTTATATTATTTTTGGGTTTCCACATCAAAGTCAAAGTGGAATAAATTCGTCCATTTTTAACTCTCGCGTGCCCAGCATTTATGAATGACTCTTATTCTAATTTAAATAAATAAATGAAATTTAAATTTTATATTAATAAGTTTTGTTAAACATACATTTCATATGTTTTTTTTTTATATTTGACATAGATACCTTTTAAAATATTCAGATAAAATATCATTAAAATGTAATTGTGATATAATATTATGTAATATTATATTAAATAAGCAAATATAATATACAAGATATATGACAAAATTTGAAAATTATTCTCGATATAATTTACCTATTTAACAATACAATCTATTATTACGTACTGATCATTCTACCTGTGTTTATTTTATGATAAAAATCAACCGCGCGAACACAGAGTAGCGCACATGATTTGTTTGAAATAGCTGCTCTAGTACGTAAGTACATATTACTTCTATGATTAGAAAATTTCCTTATGCTCCTGAATACACGCCCCGTTAAGGCGTATCCCTGACCAAAACCTTGCAAAAGTGCGTTTTTCAGACACTATTATCTCATTAGTTATGAGAAATAAACTACATCTAAAATCACATTATTAATTTTCAATATCCTATCATCACATTCCATGTTCTAATTTGTTTTTATATGTTATAAATACATTTAAAATCTACTTTAAAAAAATGACAAATTATTGATTACATGCATCTCTTGCTAAACGCAATGTTCTAATCATTTGAAGATTGCACTAATGGATAGATAAGTTAAAAATCTATATTCTTCACGTTTTATTCAATTTCTTAAGTTCGTTTTTCTTTTTTAATTGAAATAATTCCAACAATTGTGTGAATTCTATGACAAAGGGTCGTACGCAAAGTGCGGGCGGCATTACGCTGTATGCGTTCGTACGAGGAAGTCACAGACAGAGTACTTTGTATAATCCGAAAGAGGAAGTTGTATCGCTCACGTCGACATCGTCGACGTTCCGTGTTTCGCCGCAAACATAATATTATTTGAGTACTCATACCTACCAACTGATGCGCTTCCGTGTTTTTTACTACAAAAAGACGCTACGATTGCGTTATTGTGAAAATATAATTTTTTGTAAATTGTGGATTGATGCAAATGCCTAAATTCAAGAAGAATAAACGTCCACGACGTCAAAATGCTCTAAAGATGAGTGAAATTCGGTAAGTAATTTGATGTATTATGCAAAGTTCACTTATTTTTATTCCGTTAAATTCCCACATGTTATTTACACAGTATCTTTTTATTTTAGGAAGAGAAGAAAAATACCTGAATGCGAATTTGACGACAAAAATAATTATTCAGTTTACCCATAATTGAAAATGTAAATGGGTATGTCGGGCGCACTTTTGAGTCCATAGAGTTATGAAATTGCAAACAGAATTTATGAAATTTGATGTGATATTTTTTGTAGTTACCATATAAATAATATGAACCTTTTCAAATATATAGCTAAAATATGTATCTGTTTTGTTTTCATGACGGATCTATTATAATTTATTCTTTATTGCAGGCTAAATACGAACAATAACGAGAGGTACGGTGGTAAATGACTTGAGTGAAAAGTAGTTTCTTGGTGGTGGCATTGGCATGGTGGCATTTTGACGTCGTGGACGTTTATTCTTCCTGAATTTAGGCATTTGCATCAATCCACAATTTACAAAAAATTATATTTTCACAATAACACAATCGTAGCGTTTTTTTGTAGTTCAAAAATATGTCGCTATGTACCTTACCGTAGTGTTTGGATGATTAACATTCATTGTTATACGAATAATCGGCAAAATATTTAAACAATTGGTAAAAATATTCAAATAATCGAATCATTAATTTTTTATGTATTATTTCATTACTTAAATTTTTATTATCAAAATTGCTTAACTACATAAATCATGAATAAACATGTTTTCTTTTACCTCGTCAACGTAAATTTATGTAGGCAAAAAATCCTACATACAAGGCCGCGCTTAATTTTTTTTAATTTTGTGATTTTGTACCTATTTGCCTTCTTATTTTGTGACTCGGCTTTAACTTTTTGGGCTGTTTCTTCTATATTCGTTTAAGCACGTACCCATGTCACATAGGTTGATGGGGCAAAAGTGGTAGAAAAAACAAAAAAAATGATTATGGATGACTTGAAAAGAGACATTAATTTTGATTGCATTATTGAAAATCAAATATTAATTAATCTAAACAACGACTGCTCAACTAGTTGTACTGAAAGTGATTGAATAAATTTATTTTTAATCTAGTTTCAATCTCAAATATTTATAACTTTGCCTCTAGAAATAAGCAGTAAAAACAAATACGAAGCAACTGATAAATCTTGTGTTTTAAATTATCAGTTTCTAATTATTTCTATTTAACTTTATTCTGGTATTATTCAAATAAAACAGTAAATGATTACCAACTTTAAATAATTGGTATCGGTTTTTTTTAAGAATCGATTATTGTCGGTTCCCATTTTTTGGTTGGCATGCTTGGTGCAATAAGTCTAACAGCTGTCAAAAATTATTTCATATATATATATATATATATATATATATATATATATATATATATATATATATATATCAATTTTACCTATTACGAAGTTGAGGTTTGGCCGTTCTTCACTACTTGTTTATTCCATAGGCACACGACACCTTTGTACTTTGTTGAACAAAATGCGTAAGCGACGCCGTATCGGCGGTGTTTATAACTTTGTTCTTGCGAGCACTGAGCTATAACTCTTCCTAACTCATTTTCTCCCATGTTAAATTTTATGATTTTAAGTGTCTGTCTCTTTTTACTGTCGCTTTTTCGTTTCATAGACTTTCGAATAACAACGATGCTAAAGAAATTTTCACTTCAGCAGAAAAAAAAAGCAAGGCAATTTGATAGATAACAGAGATGATCTCTTGGCTGACTGACTCTCTCTTGCCCTCAGAAGGCTAGTGTCCAGCAGTGGCACTGCGGTGGTGAGACAGATTTATTGGAACGTCAGTAAGTTTAAAGTCTAAGCTTTTAAGGCGTTTCCCCTAGCGTTCCTTCGAACGAATCGAACCATGAGCGTTCAGTCCGCCGACTCTCGCTACAATATATAGCGTAAGAAATCTGCTCGACGCCACCTACAATACGAACGAATTATTACTTTTTCAACATCAATAAACTATTTTATGGAAATAGACACGGCAGGCAATGATAAATGTATTCTAATTTTCTTTATTCGGTATATTACTTGCATTATATTAGAATTAT